CTTTCCCTTCTGTCCAACACAATTAAATCCTTACAACTCTTCTGAAACCCCCCCAGCCACTCCAACTTTTAGACAGACAACCTCCCAGACACCGTTGTCGGCCAACTTGTCCATTAATATGAAAACTATTCATTAGGATTTATCAGTTGCAATCTTTGCTCAATTTGTTGCAAATAAATATGTTAAATTCTTTCCTTCTTTTCGTCTCATTATTAGTCCAGTTATGGCCTGGATTTGTTAGCTTTAACTATTTTAGTTCACAGCTAAAGGCCAAGTTTTATAACTATTCTACCTGTTGTAAAATGAAAAATATAGTCTTCTTCTATCATATTTCTCAATCAAGACCAAGTTTCTCTCTCTTTCATCCTTCTCTACCTTCCGCAACCTCTAATAATCTGAGAGTTTTATCATCTTTCCCTTTCCCTAAGATTTTTTGCTTAAACCAGAATGATGGTTAAAAAATAAAGATCTAAGCAGCGTTGGCGATAAGGAAGAAAAGCGCAACTGAGGGACGAGCACAAGTTTGTGAAGATTCTTGCATAAAGGAATAGCTCCAATTATTCAAATATGAAAATGTCATATTTGCAACATGCATATCTTGATCTAAGAATTAGATGTGTATTTGTTAGCATTCCTTGAAAAGCATTTTAATTTTCTAGTATTTTTATTATTTGTATAGATTGTATGGTGATATTCACAGAAATTTGACGACTAATAGTGACAATCATAATCCGTACATTAACGTGTACATGAAATACATGTAACTAAAAACTTATAAAATTATGGTACACTTCGATTTAGAAAAACTCCTATCATGAACCTTTAAGAGATTGAATGTGTAAAGAGACGGCCACTTAAAATCTTGCAGTGCGTTGAAATTGCCCACTAGTCAAAATTTTCAAAAAATTGTGATATTAATCTAATTTTCACACTAGTTAATTTAACTTCACTCCATGAACTTGCTGCATATTCTTAGATTTTTCTCTCTTTCCACATCCTCGCATATTTGCATCTTGTGCTCAGTTGGATAATTCCATATGCCTAGTTTTTGGGTTTGCTGATGATGGTGAATAAGAGAAGTATTGAGTACATTGGCGAGACAAACTAGTTTCTGATGAATCATATCAGAGTTGAATTTTTCTAAAGGTAGATTAGAATAGGATTGTAGTAATTTTCCAATATTTTTCACTCTTTGGGATTGTAGCTGGGCTTAGCGGCTTTTTTTTTTTTTTTTGAGAAATTTACATACCTAGCAAACATGTATTTACATATCTCACACCTAAACAATCATATTTACATAACATAGCACTTCAGGGATTTAAACTTATGCATGAAAAGGTGTATTTCACTTTAAAAAAAAGATAGTAGTGTTATTTTTTAGATGATATTAATGATTTGAGTGTAAATATTAAAGTTTAGGTGTGAGATAAGTAAATACATTATAATTATGTGCTATGTATGTAAATGTCCGTCATATGTGTTACTCCCTATCGCTACTTAAGCAGTGATCCGATGAAGCTATTTGATGTTGTTCTTTGCAAAGCTATTTTGGTGTCATTAGTTGTGATTTTCTAGTCATGGGGCACACACTAAAACTTCAATTTATGGGATAGAAAAGGTATTGGGTTTTTTATATTGTGGCCAAATACACATTTGTTTACTGTGGCCATATACACATTTGGTCAAGTTTCAAGAGTTTTGAGCTAGAATCCATGGTTTGATATAGTTCATAGATCGTGTATTTTTTGTAAACATTAAAAAAAAAAAAAAGAGAAATGGTCCTTCAATACAAACTAGTCGCTTAAATGTGTTGTGACGATTTCATAATCTTAAGAAATATACTTCTATACGTTTTGTATATTAAAGTTTGTTTTCAAGTGCAACACCATACCTTAAGGTACAAGGGTAAATTACCATAAGAACTTGTGCCTTTTTGGCTTATAGAAAAAATATATTGACCATATAATATAACCCAATCCAATTTTCTTGGGTAAGCGACTTTAGTTGGGCAGTACAAATAATGTTATTAGTGTATAATACGAACCCTGGTTTTTTGTGTCCTCGCTTTTAACCAAATTGTCAATATGATCAATTTGGCCATATAATCTGATGACATAGTGCCTTATTTGGAAAGCAACGGCCATATAAACATCACAGATTCTCAATCATGCTATGAATTTAAGGTCATTTACATAAAATATCAAATTATTCTAAAATATTTGCATATCTAACACCTAAATATTCATATTTACATGTATACCACTAAAATATTTAACATCACATCTAAAATATCACCATCACTATTTTTTTAAAAATATCACCATCACTCATCACTATTTTTTTAAAAGTGAAATACACCTTTTCATGCATAGGTTTATGACACCAAGGTTTTCTAAATGAAAATATCAAACCTTGGGTGTTAGATACGTAAATACATTGGAATTGTGTGATATGTATGCAACTTTCCTTTAAGGTTATATATAAAAGAACTGTTTTCCACAAAGGACGATGCCATGTGCAATTTATAAAATTTACATTGTTTGAAATAAAAGTTAGGAAGGGCTTTACAACACCAAAGACCACGACTAAAAATGGGCAAAAAGTATCCGGAAATGTATGCCAAATTGTGCTAATTATTTCATTCTTTGTCATTCTCCTGAGTGATTTTCACTTGAAGTTTGTCATCCCAATTCTCTAAATTATGTGATCAGTTGTTAACACAGGCCATCAAATTGATGTCCAGACCAAAAGACCTTTAACATATTCCTAACGCAGACAGCAGACAGCAGACAGACAAGAGCATGTCATTATCATGTAGAATTTTGAACATTTTTGTCCAAAAACAAATTGTTCAGAAGCGGCAGATTTTTTAGAAATAATCTTGCTCAAGTTTTTACCTGTAATTTAAAAATAAGATTTGCCAAAAAGTAGATGTTACCATATCCAGTAGTTTGTTTATTTCTTAAATTGGAATGCTAAAATGAAAATAAATAGAGCTCTTTCATCAACAAGTATCGGGAAATTCAGTTCAAGTTATCACTTTCACTAGTAATTTTTTTTTATATTTTTATAGCAGATAAAGTGCACGCCTAATAACAAAAAAATAGAGGAAGCTCTAAACCTTCAAAGGTGCAATATGAGTGCAGTTTTTGTAGGACAGCACAAGAAGTAATAGCATCACATGCACACATAATCACCATTTTTTATCTCTAAAACAGAGGTTTAAGGTTCTAATCCTACAAATAATAAATATTAAGGAATGCGTACCACCCAATTTCTATGTATTTATATATTTTACACCTAAATTTTACTTTTTACATTACACCACCCAAATCTTTCATATAGCATAAGAAAGTACCGCCCTTCTAACTTTTAAAAAGTGAAACGCAACTTTTCATGCATAGGCAAGGCGGCATGTATGTAAAAATTAAAGTTGAGGTGTTAGATGTAAATAAGAAGGAACTGAGGGGTATGTATGTCAATCTTTCAAATAATAATACCATCAAATACTGCATTTAGTTTACAAAAGGGAATAAGATCTTCTAATCTGTTCTAATCAGGTGCCTTAAATTCTTAATAGATTATTTGAATGGCTTAAATTGGTTTCTTCTAATTATATGTTCTTCTTCTCAAAGAATTCATGGTGATAAATCTAACAATCAAGTGAAAAAAAATAATTACCTCGCAAACCTTTAGTCAAATCAGTATCACCAGGTGAGCGGCAGAATACCAAATCTTGGTGAAACTTATCTATCAAATTTTGTATTATTTGCGCACGTGTGAGTGGAACTCTTTCAAGAGCAGTGCAAGCGAGCTTCATTAGGGGCATTGTAAAAGGCCTAATCCCATCTGTTTGCTGCAACAACAGAAAAATCATTATATAGGAAAATGTTGTAATTTCCAAGAAACTCAGCCATAACTCCCGGAATCATGCGGCAAAGTTCAATTACAAAAAAATAAAAATTTGGGTGGAGCAAGTGAAATTGACAGCAACCTAGCTTGCATTTTGGAAGGCACCTTTGTGGAAAGATGGAAGAAAAATAGGGAAATTTACATACCTAGCACATAATTCTTATGTATTTACATATCTCACACCATATCTCACACCCCTCACACCCAAACTTTCATATTTACATACATAGCACTTTAGTGCTTTAAACCTATGCAGGAAAAAGGTGTATTTCATTTTTGAAAAGTGGTAAAAGTGCTATTTTTATTGTGATATTAAAGATTCGAGTACTATACTTGTAAATATGTAAGGTTAGGTGTGATATATGTAAATACATTAGAATTATGTGCTATGTATGTAAATTCCCCAAGAAAATAATGACATGCATTGTAAAACGTCGGTACCATGTAGTTCCAAAAGATCCACAATTAAAAATCTCATCAGAGATGAGCGACAAAAAAATAAATTTGCAAATTGAACTGTGATGATATGTCATTAACAATGTTCAGAGATTTGTTAAGTCAATGCAAATAAACATAGCTTACTAATTCTCAAAGTAGTCAATCAAATATATTTGCAAGGCTAATAATGTAGATAAGTTAGTCCAATTAATGAAAACATGGTAAACTATGCATTTATCCTTGAGATTCATATGATTCCACTTAGCTTCACAAAGTAGGAATTTGAACATCAGATCCCCTAAACAACTTTCACCTTAGTCTTTGTTCCAGTGTCCACATTTTACTAAATATTTTAGACATTGCATACAAAGCTGATTTTTTTAAGCCTTTATGCCTTTAACTTATCGAGGGTGAATCATCTGCGAGAAACACAATCAAAACCCACCTTCATACTAGGATGATAGAAGATCCTAAATATGTCATACAGAAGCTGATTAAGAATGAATATGAATTTGAATTTTTCTATTTTTACAAGAGTATCCTCCAAATTCTAATTCTCTTTATCACATTCATTCTTAGAATTTCTTCAAACCTCAATTTTAGATTGAAAAAAAAATATTGTTACACAGTCAAGCAACCAACGTAAAGGCTATACGAAACAATACCTTCCCATCAAGCTAAAGTTGAGCCATAAAAATACATGCAATCTACCTAGATCCCATCAAAATCACCCTTGCTTTCAACACTACATACACATGATACATGAAATAATTTCATGTAAAAAAAAAAGGAAGCATTCACATAAATACCACTCAATTCCTATCTATTAACATATCCAATACCTAAACTTTATTTTTTACATTTATAACAGCCAAATCTTTCCTATCACATCAAAAATACCACTATTTTAACATCTAAAACATGAAATACACCCTTTCATACATAGGTAAGGTGGCATATATGTAAAAATTGAAGTTTAGGTGTATGTATTTACATATGTAAATCTTCCAAAAAAAAAAACAAAACAAAAAGGGGGTATTCCTCTTACTCTTAAACTACATGCTGCAATTTACTATCATCTAAGAGGAAATCAACCTTTATAACATTATTCTATTTTATTATCAGCAAGTTAGCGAACTTGCAGATTTCAAAGTTGAAGTCACAAAAACTGCATCCTGAAGATAAAAATAATGTTGGTTTTTGAAAAAAAGAATGAAACATGGCCTGATTAAATTTAAGACGACATTATCAACTCATCCAGCCTTAATGGCTTAAGAAATCAGCTCAAGTTAACAATTCACTAATTCTCCCAACAGCATCAGGCTGTCAACTAAAGAAAATTCATTACATGGCCCAACAATTTCTATTCTTCTTTTCTTATCGTTCAACAACATTTATTTAAAGGGGCGTTTACATACATAAAACCCAATTCCCATGTATTTATACATATAACACCTAAAATTTACTTTTACAATTACACCACCCAAATCTTTCATATCACATCAAAAATACCACTAGTTTAACATTTAGAAAGTGAAAAACCAATTTTCATAAATAGTTTTGGTAGCATATATGTAAAAATTGAAATTACAATTATACCACTCAAAACTTTCATATCACAAGTTGAATTGTTATGATTTTTCTTTAATTGTAGAGATGGAAAATGCTTGTTAAATATTGTCTAAAACTTCGAATTTATGAGCATAAATAGAAAAAAGTAAACTCCCCTCCATCTTTTAGCAATTTTAAGCAAAGCAATGAACCAACAGACAATAATGTAAAATTTTCAAATTTATGGCCCAAAACACATGATAAATAACTTATCATGTGTTAGTTATCAGCATCTAATCAGAATATTATCAGCATCTAATCAGAATATTACATTAGTTAAAAATTTATGTTGCTTTATTTATTTATAACATATTATATGAATTAAATGTTTATAGCCATTTAACATTAGGGTGACATGATTTTCAAAATAGAGGTAAATGAATATGCTTAACACTGAAAAAGTTGCAAGCAATGACAATCAGAACAAAAATGATAAACATAAATAACTGACCTAGAGCATATGAAAAATGATAATTTAAGTGATCAAGAATCGTAGAATATCAACACCTACAGAGTGTCAAATAAGCTTCTCACATAAGCGGAAATAAATTTAAAATTAATATAATTTCTTCACTGAACTATCATTTTAAATTGATCCTACTTTTGACTGTCATATGAACATCATTTTGTAAATTATGATTATCCTGTAATGATGACAAAATTTAAAAAAGAAAGTTGATGCACTGTGGCAATCTTGCTTCAAAGCCGTCATCTGATGAAAATATTTTCAACTACACTGAAAAGATCAAGGGTGCAACTAGAACAACGAAATGGTCAGAAGAACATAAAATTGTTCTCACAGAGTTGCTAATATCAGAATTAGTTAAAAAATTAGCAGAAACAAAAACTACTTTTACTAATATTAAAATAGGGTTACAACACAACATAAACGGAAAAGGGAAATACAATGATAAATCAATCTATGGCTCGGACCAGAAGAGAAAATCTGTGACGATGGTGCTGTCGGTGAAGTGTTAAGGGAGCGGGTTAAGGCCAAAGGTTGTGAAGGGGGATCGATGGGTGATTTGGTAGGCCAGCGGGCGGGTTGGGGCGACATAGAGTTGTTGGACAGCAGGATTTGCTGCAGGGAAAGTGGCGGTTGGCGCGAGGATGAAGTCCAGGAAACTAGACAACAAGGTTATGTTGTTGGGGGAGGGCGGCTAGGTGCTGGGATACAATATGGGAAGCTGAACAGCGGGTGGGTTATGTTCTTGAGGAAGGGTCGGCTGGGCGCTGGTAGGAAGTCTGGGAAGCTGGACAGTAAGGTTATGCTATTGGGGAAGGACAGCGGGGGGTTGGGATGAAGGGAAGGCTGGTGGCGGCGGAGAGGGGCGAAGAGAAGGGTTTGGTAAGAGTAAAAAGGAAAATATAACACCATCTAAAAGTAGGATACAACCAGAACACCACCAACTCTTGGATAAGGCCCTACAAAAGGGAAAATGACTCCACACAGGAAATTTGAAAGCAAACACAACAAAAACTAAAAAAAACTCTTAAGCATAACACCCCCGATTTATAATGATGACTAGAATTTATTTTAAACCATGTTTAAAATAAGAAAGAAGAATAAAAATAATAAGAATTTAAATTAGGCAAGGACGAATAAACAAATGGAATTTCAGATTAGGTAAGGATGAATAAACTAAATCAGAATTTAGGATAGAGGTCTTATAATAAGAAAATACTATGATGGAAAGA